GGCTGCTGGCTGGCTGGCTGCCCGCCCCCTTGCTGAAGCCTGGCTCTGGGTTTGCGCGTCAGGTCTCCTCTCCAGGGAAGGTTAGGCGGTACACACGGGGTAACAGGTGTTGAGTGTGTTCTGCTCTGCCAAGTGAACCACAACGGCTGCTTGTCAGCGTTGGAGGTCAAGGTAAATGAATACATTTATTTATATATACATAGAAATAAAATTAACATTTTTTTTTTTGTGCAAAAACAAGAGGGGAAGGGAAGGGATCAGGGGATGGGATGGACAGAGGGTCCCAATGACTGGGACAAAAAGAAAAGGAGAACCTGGGGTGTCAAATCCTGAGAGCATCCGAGTTAAACGGGACAGATTGAGGTTGAAGTCTGCTCTGGCGAATATGACCTGGTTTCTCCTCTGTGCGTGGGTCAGATACCAGCGGGCAAGTTTGTGCTCATGCCGGTGCTGCTCCAGAGCCCCCTCCTGCTGCAGAAGCCATCCTGGCCGCGCCGCCGACCGGCCCTCTCCCCCGCACCGTTCCTGACACGCGTCGGATGCTGCGACCACAGCCTGGTGCTGGTGTGCGTTCATTTGTCAGTTCCCAGGAAAACAGGAAAGAAAGAAACCAACGCTGGCATTTCAAGGTAATTACTGAGCAGGGCTGAGAGATAATGGGCCTGTATGCATGACCAGCATGACCTCAGGTCTAGTTCTGTGGCAAGGGATGGCATGATAGGCAGCTACTTTCATCTGTTATGCTATACCCCCCCAGAGAGGCAGATACCAAGAGGCTGAGATCAGCTCGCGCCTCCTGTAACCTTGTCCTAGCTTCATTATCCGTTCTGTGCAATAAAGTCCCCTGCCAGAGCAACAATCATCTCTGGCTGCATTCAGGCTCGCTGGGTCTGGAGAGGCAACGAAGAGAGAGCCACACTGGAGCGACCTGTAGCTCACTGCTGTTGGGAGCTGCGGCAGCCTAGAGCTTCCGAGCACAAAACAGTTTTAATTTGTCCTCCCTATTTCACCTTTTGGTCCTAAAATACCAAGCCCCTCGCAATCAACTCCAATGCGCAGCAGCACTACGGACATTTCCACACAAGCCCAGGGAAGCTGCGGGTGACACCTCGACTGGGCTCTGCAAAGGGTCTGGTCCGATGTTTCTACGGAGGAAAAGCAGATCCCACATGTTCAGTGGGAAGCGCAACAAGACACGAGATCTAAACAACCTGCTGCTGCAGACTCCTGCCACGTGCCGGTGGGACTGTTGTTCCCAGCGCACTGGGGGCCAGACCTGTTGCAGGGACAAACCAGAGCAGCTCTACCGAAGCCCGCCAAGCTGTGCTGATGCACGGGACAGGAGGATCTGGGGGATCTCCTGGGCGCTTTCAAATCTATGCGATCTTTACCCACCACATCTACTGCAGCCACGGGACACCTGCTACTTCAGGTTTGAATAAACCAGAGTTTAGAGTCCCACACGTGCTGGCCTGCAGGCAGGAAGCCACCAGTGGAGTAGGGCCCGGAGCCCAGATTTCCCCTTTCTGATGCTAAGGCCCATCCGTGCGGAGCGCTGGCCACGGCTCTCCCTGTCCGGCGTCAGCATAGCGCAGAGGAGGGCGGGGTGGACGGCACGGCTAGCGTCATCCATTACAAGTGCTGGCGCACAAGGCAAGCTGGCTGCCCACGAGAATGGGTTAGCAGAACACGATGCAGAGAAATAGGTCACTGAGGGAAGCTGTGGCTTGAATCTTAATCTCTGGCTGCCTCTCTATTTAGCAGTACCCTACGGAGGCCTCAAACCTGGGTTTTTAAGCTTAAAAAGAGGTTTCCTTGGCAGCCTGTGGCACTAGGGAGAGCAGAGTACTGGACCAGCAGCACCGCTGCGGGCATCACACAAACAGACACTCGGGCACAGGTCAACCCTGCCCCAGGGGTTGGGGGAGACCTCTGAGAGGCAAGTGCTGGTTTGTAGTGCACTGGTACCCAGGGAGTGCCCCAGCACATGGAAACCTGACTGCATGCTCCTCACCTGCCAGGCATCAGTGCCTGGCACCAGGCCCAGAGCGTAACAGGTGAAGGGACAGGGTACTCACAGTTGCACTAAAGGCCCTGGAAGAAGTGATGCTGCTGATGACAAGAAAACCTGCATGATTCTAGGGAAGTACCTTCATAGAAAAGCCACCTGGGCAAAGCCAGGCAGACCAGAACAGAGGGGAGTTTGGGGAGATGGGCTGCCAGCTAGTGGCAGTTCGCTCTTACCCTTATCCCTTACATCCACCTGGGTGGCACTGACCTATGATCTACTCGGTGTAGGAATATGGGAACCGCTGGACCAGACCCACGGTCCACATAGCCCCGTACCCACCCCCAACAGGGCCCTGCCGCTGCTGCTTCAGAAGAGGGTGCAAGAAAAAGCAGGGATACTCTGTCCCTGGCGAGTTGTTGCCAGAGGCTCCAGGCCAGCCAGGCGCCAGCACCGCACATAGGCTTAGCACTGCAGAGAGGAGCTGCTCCGTGAATGTCAGTGATATAAGTCTTGACAGAAATCCAAATTCTGCAAAAATGCTCCCAACTTCCCCTCCTCGTTTTCCAAACAGCTGCATGTAGGAGCCTGGAGGGGAGCTGGAAACAGGATGGGAGCTGGAGGGAGGTGGAAACTCCCCTTCCACCAGTCCTCCAGCAAAGAGCAGGACGGAAGTACACAGCCGCCCAGGCAAACTCCCCCTGGCAAGTGGGGTCAGCAGCCTGTGCCAGGGGCTTGCAGTAAGCTCTGAACGGGCTTGGGAACGTTGCATGCCCACCCTGCCCCAAGGCAATGAACACCCACAATTTTCCTGAAAGGAAGGCAACAGTTTAGTCTGAGACCCCGGCCCATGCAGCCAGCCCTGCTTTCTGCCTCAGCATGGGGGTCTTGGGGAGAGTCACCACTGGCGCACCACAATAATCTCCACTGTTTCACGTTTTTGGGTGGCAAGTGCTGCACGGGGATTGGCATGCATGTACCAAACAAGGAAGGAAAGAGGAGGGAGAGTAGCAGTGGGAACAAGCACCCAAACCTACACCAAGTCCTGGAGGCACAGCCCAGGCGGGCAGGGGGCGCGGCTGACTGCGCTTCCAGGGGGGGCGAAGGGGCAGCGCTGCAAGGGCTGATGCTGGGGGCGGCCAGCACAGCTGGGGCGAGGGGACCCCGGCTGCAGGCCCCGCCGTGGCCTTGCTCTGGGGCTCTTGCCCCTTAGGATTGTGAACACCGCTTCACCCGGCGGCAGGAGCCGTCCTGTTTCTGCGTCAGAACCAGCCGTCCGGCCCTGCGGCGAAGGAAAACACTGGGGTTTTGTCTGGCTCTTTTTGGCTTTGTCTGTTCTCCGTCTTCCCTACATCTGGCTTGAAAACGCCTTTTTCATTCCAAACAGAAAAGCTTTCACGCTGCCTGGCACCGAGGTCAGGGACAGGCCACGGAGTCGCTGCTTTCAGCTGCAACCTCAAATCCTGCCTGTATTCATCGTAGGTGGGGGTGAGCACTTGGTGGCCAGCGTCACACGAGTTTGTTTGGTCGCAGCCACGCTGGCAGCAGCAGGCATTGCCATGGCAGGAACGGACGACCCAGTCAGCAGCGGCAACAGGGAGGCCGAGGAGCCGGCGCTGCTCTCTGCAAGCGGGGCAGGTTGGCTCTGCTGCCCTGGGCAGGGACAGGCAGCAGGAGCCCATGGGACGCGGTGCCCAAAGCACTGTCTCCCTTTCCTGGTCTCCCCCCATCTCTTTCCTGGTCTCCGCTCTCCCAGCATTACCTCCATCAGCTCTTTTTCTTTTTGCCTCGGATTAAAAAGAACAACATCTTGTTGCTCAAACACTTGAGAACGGAGGTGACATGGACTCCAATTTCCTGTCCTCTGCAAAGGCCTGGCATTTTCCTCAGAAATGACACAGCTTAAAATGCCAACAAAATGGTCCAGCCAGCTTCAAAAAGCAGCAATCACTCCTAATTGGGTTAGAAATTTCAACCCCCAGGAAAACGTTACCTTCCCTTCTTCTGGCTCAGTGCAAAGACTGCTGGGTGCCGGTGTTAGAAGTAAATTAAACGTGTATTAGGAATTTGAAACTATTTATCTGCTTCAGAAAGGCCATTTCTGGTGCCCAGAGGGACAATCATTTCCTGGAAGGTGAAATCCCTGTTAGAGACATAATTTTTTGTGCACTGAAGCTGCACTGCTGGCAGGATGTCATTTCCACAAGATCGGCTCTTGCTAGGTTCCACTTTGGGCTTGATTGTCTTTTTCTTTTAAAGAGATTTGCTTCTCCATGATGCAGTCTCTGCGTGCAGTAAAGTGTTACAGGCCTGCTGCTCTCACCACACTCCTGGGCTGAGGAGATAAAAGCGAGGGCTTCCAGAAAGAGCAGCTAGACCAGCACAGCCCGGCCCATGACCATACCCGCTGGTTCTCCAGCTTCACCCGGCGACACACAACAGCTTGGGACCCTACTCAGCATCACAGCGTAGCCACTGGCAGCGGCTGGAGGATCTTTCCCGGCCCTGCTAAGCATTAGGAAACATCAACGACAAGATGAACCAGCGAAAGGTTGAAACGCAATTAGAAATATCCCCGTGCCCCACGTGTGCAGGCGTGCTACTGATGTGGCTGGGAGTACATTGGTGCACGCAGGGTGGCTTGAGTACATCTGCCTGTCTGAGTGTGAACCCATGCACAGGTAATGCAGGAGTGCTTGTGCACACGGGAGCCCAGCCAGGGAAGGTCTCTGCCCGTCATGTACACCAGCCTGGTAGCATGGACTCGTGTGCGCACAAAGCTGCATACAGGTTTGGACACGAGCACCCACATCCACTCTTCTGTCATGTAGGAGATGTCCCAGAATCTTTCTTTACCAGAAGCGAGATCAGCAGGGCCCGTGCCGGGATTTAATCTGGTTCTATAGAGACAACCCAGCGCCTAAGGCGTTTCATAGGAAGTTACAGGGGTGTAGGTTCATAGGAAGTTATCTTTTTATACCCGAGGAATCCTGCAGCAAGGACAGGCTTCTCCACTGAATTAAAATCTACTGATGAAGCCAGATGCCTGGGGCAGCGGCTGCCTGTATTAGCTGGTGTAGGATGCTTGCACACTCGCACGCATGTGCAGAGTCGTGTGCATGTGTGGGTGCATTCACAGGGCTGGAAGGAGCCCAAGCACCTGCATGCAGCTTTCCCTTGTCCTCAGCACCTCCGCGAGGGCAGGCAGTAATGAGACCCTCACCTTCCCTCCAACTCCCCTGGCAAAACAGGCACGATTCCCTGCGGCCATCTCCTTCTCCCGGTCCCCAGCCCTAGGGCACTCACTCCCAGCCTCCCCGCTACCAAGCCTGATGGCCTCCCCGACAAGGCACAAGAGCCCGATGTCCACACCGTGGGAAGCACACTGCCTGCACAACTGCGTCCCAGCTCGGGATAGCTCCTCCTCCTCCTCCTGCTGCGTTCAGTGACTGACTCTCTTGTGGGCGATTCTCAACCAGGTGCCGCGAGATCCTTTGACGGGTGCCCCAGGAAGGCAGAGCAAGGCGGGCGCAGGCTGCAGGTGTGAGGAGACAGGCAGATAAGGGCAGGCGCTGGCTTGTGCCCATCTTGCTGCTCCCCCGCCTGTCTGCAAAGTGAGCTCCTAATAAAAAGTCACAATAGGAGATGAGCACGCATTTGGGAGCGAGGCTCCAGCCTCAAGCCGCACCGCTCGGTTTGGCCTGGTGCCCTCCCCAGCCAAAACTCCAGCCCAAGGGGGTGGTTTCTGGGCCCAGCACTGCCCAGCTAGCTCAGAACAGAAGTAGCTTCCCCCCCTGCAGCCCACGTCTCTGGTGCAGGGCAAGCGTAGCACATGAATGGATGCCAGGTTTGTAAAGGGAGCACTTACCCCCACCTCCATGCCGGGGTCCTAGGATCCCAGCAGTCCCCTGCAACAGCCCTGGCCAAGCCAGGCAGAGACAGAGAGCCAGCTGTAAGGTAGCAGCTCTCCTACATATGCCCTGCCTCCCATAGCTCTGGTTCTGATGGGAATCAGCTGATGGGCTGCAGCTGTGCAGCCCTGCCCTGCCAATCCTGCACCCAGGGCTTGCACCTGTGGCTTCCCCTCTGCTCCAGGAGATGGCACGTGTGGCGGGCCAGTAGGGGGCGCTCCTGCGTGGAGCCGCCCACCTCCCTGCGCCCGACCACCGTCCAGGCTCCGAGTGCCTCCCTGGGGTGCCTCCCGTCCGGCCGACCCCTTCCCTGGAGCACCCCCGCTAGCCTGGGGGTCCCGCTGCCACCATCCCAGGC